CCCCGCGCAAATTCATAACTCGAGGTTCTGAGGTGCTAAAAAGCTGAAATTTTAGGAGAATGTTCCCCCTCCAAGCAGGTGCTAATGAGCTCAAATCCAGCTCCCGGGTAGGCGTGGTACCCGCGTGCAGGCCCCCCAAAATTTTTCCCGCGTAAATTAATAACTCGGGGTTCTGAGAAGCTAGAATCTTAGGGGGGTGTTCCCTGTGTAAGTGGGTATTGACGAGTTCAAGCCCTGCCCGCGGGTAAGCGTGGTACCTACTTACAGGCCCGTGAAAAGTTCATTCCGGGTAAGTTAATTACTCGAGAACGTGAGAAGCTAGAAGATTGGAATTTTGAGGGGATTTTTCTTGACAGTTGTGACGGCCAGTCTGTAATTCAGCTAGAAGCACTTGCCGAAAAACCGATGCCGGTAGCGATAAAAACCTGCGGGGAACTCTGCAAGAAACGCATCTTCGCACGGGCAGCCCGTGCGTTGGCCATTTATTTGTGTAAACGAACGCAGTGTTTGAGTTGGTTACTTCCTCTCCCTCTCTGTGCTGTATAATGTTTTTGCATGTTCGCCGTGCACTAAACTCTTTCCACTTATTACTGGCTGTTGTCGCAGAATCATTCTTTATTCCCAAATGGGGTTGCCGCAGTTGACATAACAAAAGCTGGCATTATTTTTGTTCGTAGCACTGTGGATGGTGATAACCCGAAAATGTTGCAGCGGAGCAGTGCGTGAAACTGCTGGAACATATCTGTCAGAGGGAGTCAACTGCTGTTTTTGATGCCGGTGGACTGCAGTGCATGCTCACACTAGTGCGCCAGCACGGGCAGTGTGTTCATAAGGTGAGCTATGTGGAATTGTTGAAAACTATCGAATTGCGCCGTCCGCGCATTTTTACTCACGCATGTCGTTGAAATATATGTGTTTCTGAATCTGCAAACCTGTAAAGCTGAATAGGAAGCATATTTTTATTCACACATATCGTTGAGTGGTAGTAGTCAGAATTAGTTGTTCCACTGGCGCAGTCGAATCTACAACCTACTGCACGGCTGCTCCACTGCGCCGCACCTGAACTTCCCAGTAATAGCACTCTTGTGAGATATGCACACTGGCTGCCCTGATAATATTGATATTTTCATGTGTTTTTTGCAGCTATGCAATGTAAAAACGCATATTGACGAGGGGTTGTCTGTGTGTATGTCTGTCGCGCACTTTCATCTCAAGACCTATAAAAGCTGCAGGGCTGAAATTTCGAAAATCTTATCTACATGCGCGTGCCGGCTTCAATCCCCAAAATGGCGCCATTACTCGCGAGGTACCTGCGTACGAACCCGCCAAAATTTTTTTCGGTTAAGCTCATAACTCGGGAATCTGAGAAACCAGAACGCTGAAATCTTAAGGGGATGTTCCCCGTCCAAGTTTGTGTTAATGCACTGAAACCCATCCCCTGGGTAAGCGTGGTACCCGCGTACGGGCTCGCCAAAATTTTTTTCGGGTAAATTCGTAACTCGCGGATCTGAGAAGATAGAACGCTGAAATCTTAGGCTGATGTTCCCTGTCCAAGTGGGTATTAGCGAGTTCAAACCCTGCCTGCGGGTAAGCGTGGCACCTGCGTACGGGTCCGAGGAAGTTTCTTCTCGGTAAGTTGCTAACTCGAGGACGTGAGAAGCTAGAAGACTGGAATTTTAAAGGGATGTTTCCTGACAGTTCTGGCGGCCAGTCTGAAATTCTTTTAGCTGGAAGCATCTGCCGGAAAAGCCGGTGCTGTTAGCGACAAAAATCCGCGGGGAGCTATGCAAAAAACGCATCTTCGCTCGGGCAGCCCGTGCGTTGGCCAGGTATTGTATTTTGACTATCGACTGAAAGGAAAATGAATGTTTCATTGCGAAGGCTCCCGCTGACCACTTCCTGTCCTGTGGCTTCGCTCAACAGCAGCAGCAGCAACAGGAACAAATTGTGATAATTTCGTGTTAAGCTAGCAGGCGTAGACTACCGATGCTCCTTACCGGTTACCGTCTCATCGATTTGTGTGAATAAAAATATTCTTTATATTTAGTTTCATGGCTTTTGTGGATCTAGATGTTGAAAATATGTCAGTTTCTAGATCTACCAGAACTACGAAGCTTTATATTTCGGCAGCTCTGGTCTACTACTGCGCGCGAATCTTTAAATGCAAAATGAGCGTTTATGTCTTCTTACCATGTGCGAACATGCCAAAACATGAAAACAATTTTGTAAGTGACGTGCGGACACGCCAAAGCATGAAAACGATTTCTATGCGAAAACGCCTGGCCGCACGGACAGCATTGGTGCGCGCTGCTATATTTTGGCAGATGCCCATTTTGTCCGTTTCTGAACTGCAAAAAATTGAGTGATTGAGCTTAATTAGTAAAATATCAGAAAATGGAATTAGACACAAAATCTAGACAGCTTCAAGATGGCAAATAAATGCTAAACTTAGTGACTGGACGCTTAAAAGAGCCAGTGTGAAGACAGACTGCTTCTTTGGTAAAAGTCTCTTGTTTTGTCGGATCTGCGCACATTGCCTGTCTCTTTGTTGGCAGTGCTAGTGCCTTTTCTTCTGTCATCGTACTGCTTTAGCCTACAGAGATGTTCACTTTTAATCGGAGGCGCTTTTTTTTCTTGGATTAAGCTGTGTATAATGCGATATTATATGAATTTTGATTTTAGGATACCGTTCACTCGGCAATGTCAGTTGTAACGAGACTGTGTAGCAAAGTGGAGCCGAACGATGCATCATTGCCGGAGTGCAGTGCCAGTTTAGGAGCTCTTTTGGAGCACGAAGATCTGAAAGTATGTTTCTTCAATGCTTCATACGTTTCTCCCCCGCCCCGCTTTGTAAGGACATCATGCGCGTGTGTACTAAGCCTGTGTCCCTGTATTGCAATTTCTCCCGAATGTGCTTGTGGTTATTTCTTTGCTTGTTGGCTCAGGTGTCGGAGTGTGCTTTGCGCTGCTTTGCTGCACTCACCGATCGGTTTATGCGTAAATCGATGGATCCGGTAGAAATGGCTCAACACGGTAATCTGGTGGAGCATCTGCTGAGTTCTCTGGTAACAGCTCGTATGAGCCATGTGGCATCGAACACATCGCTAACACACATACATAATGTGAGCTCTACGACTTCACGTGCGTCAAATGATTCGCCGGCCGTTGGTGTACACCGTCCAGCATCATTCATCTCAATTGTCATCTCAGTGCTCAGTAATCTCTGTCGCGGGTCCTCAGCTGTCACTGAACAGGCCGTAAGGTATGTTAATTTTCTTTCAGAAATGATTTTTATGCCTTTTTTTTTCATCTATGCAATGCAAAAACGCATGTTGTCGAGGGGTTGTGTGTTTGTGTGTACGTCTCTACCGAGTTTTCATCTCGAGATCCACAAAAGCTACAAGGCTGAAACTTTGGCAACATAGTCTACACGTACAAATGGGTACCTGTTTTCAAAATGGATGCACACGTCCGCGTGATTCTCATGTGTGGGTACATAAAAGTTGGGCGGAGAAACATTTTCGGTAACGGCGCAAGCTAGAATGCTGAAACTTCACAAAAATCTTCTCTGGCTTCGTCTAATCCAAAGATTTCAGATTCAGTCTTCACGCACTCCTAGGTCTCACGTACGCACACATCAGAGTTTAAACTGGCATCGTGCTAACTCCGAGGAAGTTGTAGAGGACTGTAATTTTGCAGCGTTACTTGTCGTCCGCTATTGTGCTCGTAAAAATAAATTGAGCTTTCCAGTCCTCTGCATCTCACGTACGAAAACGTGAATATTTCATACAGACACTTTTGTAATTTTAGAATTGAGACAGTTAGAGGACTATGAGCATAACCAACGGCGGCATTTGATGAGGTAGACGTAAAAACGACTGTCACATTCCTTTCATATCACGCACGCACGTATGAAATTTGTCGTAGCTCTGCAACCAAAATAGCTAGAGCGCTGAAATTTTCTGGGCCTGACCCAGGACAATAATTGAACAAGCGCACACGATATGACAGCATTCATATAGCCACTCATTTACGAATACGTGAGATTTGACGTAACTCCGCAACCGAAGCATCTAGAGTGCTGAATTTTTCAGGATTGGGTTGGGAGTTATTGTAATAATTTCTAACAGTCTTGGTAGTTGCTCTCAGTTCTCAGCCAGAAGCATCTGCCGGAAGAAACAGTGCCATTAACAACAAAAATCTGCGAGGGAACTGTGCAAAAAGGCATCTTTTCAACGGCAGCCAGTACGCTGTCGACTAATTTATGCGTTTTTGCCGTGCAGCGCTAGTGCGCTGTAACAGGCAGCAAAATCGCATATTGCAACGATCTCATCTGTGTGTATTCGTCTGTCCTTATATTTCTATTCTCCAACCACGCAAGCTTTGATGCTGGAATTTTGCCGGTGTGTCCCCTGGCTATGTGCGCCCCCCAGGAGCAACTATCATTCACGTACTGGCACATAAAAGTTTTTGCGGGAAAATCGCTGATTCGGGAACGAGAAAAGCTAGACAGCTTGAATTTTACTGGAATGTTCCTTACTCATGTAGGCCAGATCATTTCAAATTCAAGTCTTTAGAGCTATCCGGCCTTACGTACGGGAACGTGAAAATTTTGGCGGAAAAACCGCTAATTCATTAACTAGAAAAGCTAAAAAGCTGGAACTTGAGGGTAATGTTCCCTGCCCATATACAATGAAAAAATTTTAAATTCGACTCCTTAGAATTGCCCGGGACTCACGTACGGACGTGAGGATTTTGGTGGGAAAATTGTTGATCCAGGAGCAGGAAAAGCTAGAAAGCTGGAATTTTGAGGGATGTCTTCTAATCATGTACGAGTGAAAGGTTACAAATTCAACTATTCTAGTGGGATCTTTTTCGCGCACCAGCAAATTTCCATTTGTCGGGTCATTGATGCTGACATCTACAAGTGACATGCCACACAGCTGCATGATTAACTTGCTGGACTTCGAGAGATAGTATGTCACAAATTCTAGTTATTGTGATTTCTTGCGATGTAACGTATGATCGCATCTGGCGCGTTCCAGCTTGAGTTGATGTTCTTCTTTTCTGTCTTTGTTAAATACTGGGGTGATTTAATTTTCTGCCATCGTCACCTCCCTATTTCCGCCTTATTTTGGAATTTTTTAATACAAATTCCGTATCTCCTTAGCAGCATTTAGTACATTTTCCATGTGCGTTGTTGTCGGGGTCGATTTTGCACTTTTCTGGCTGGGTTTTGCACCTCTTTCATTTGCGTGGCGGCTTACTTGGCTCCTCTGCGTTCTTCAGGATTGTTTTCGGTGACTTTTTATTACAAAGGGACTGACAGTCTTTTCGGTTTTCTTTGCCCTCTAGATATGTTTTAAGAAATTATGGTTTTTTCTCTGATATGTAGTCACCCAGTCGTTATGTTTGAATAAAGTTCCTTTCTATGCGGAAACAACCATCTGCAATTTGTGTCGTAATAAGTTAACAGTGGAGGCGGAAAATTGTCATTTTCATAGAAGAATGTTTGTATTTTACATTGTTGTCTTGAATCATTTGTGTTTGCAGTTCACCTTTGTTTATCCCCGCGTTGAAATCGGTTCTGACAAGTAAGGAGGAGCGTTGTATTATGGATACTCTACGTCTTTGTGACCTTGTTGTGTTGCTTCTCTGCGAAGGGCGAAGTGTTCTACCGAAAAGCGTCGCTTGTGTTGCAACCAGCCGAAATGAATCGGGTTAGTTTAGAGAGTTGGAGTTTGCCTAAAGTTTGGTCAACATCTCTATTTCTCATTAACGTATTGTCCAGGTTATCGTAATGCTAAAATGTAGCCACAGGCAGGCACAGCTGTTCCAGGCCATCCCTTTACTGTACTTTTCATCAACTGCGTTGATTGAGAGAGAACGTCGCATATTCTTTGGTGTGCGATTTGTTTGTGTACCTTGCAAAAGGTCCTTTTTGCCTCATTCATATCCGCGAATTTAGGTTTTGTTGGCATGGGTCGTTGCAATAAACATATTGTTGATGCAATTCGCCAGCGTGATACCGATGCTGTGATTGATGCCGTCGAGACCAAGCAGGTTTCTTTTTCCACTTGTTGTATTTGAGCAAGAGACTAAAAGCAAAAATGAAACAGGAACTGATGGTCTACTTTGGAGAAATAAATGAAACATGAAGCAGAGTGAACAGAGCTGAGGTGCCACCAACTTTCTGACGTACGTGTCAGGTCCCCTCTTGGATTGCTGCCAAGAGCTTGTAGGCGAGGGCCCTATGTTGATATTATTACAATGCACTCATGACCTTAATAGGTCCTCCTGAACTTCCCTTTTGGTATTGCGTAGACACTGTACCTTCTCCGATTCGGCCCGAGCACCCGACGGTTTCTGACGTTATTATGTGACGGCCATCATCCGTCGGCGGGATGAGCATCATTGCTGGTTTTCCTTTTCTGTCATGGTTGTAACGGTTTTCTCATATTTCTAATATTATGAAATATCGGATTGCCCGTATGGTCACAAAGAAAAAATGCCAAGCATTCATCGTCTCTTGGCTTCCCCCTCTCTCCCCCTCCTCCCGTCAAATCCGGCACTTTCTCCAACTTTCATCAGCGATCACGTTTCACCTTGTACTTCATTGTGTTCAACACATTGGTATTGAAGAAATGAATACTTTAGTTTCGGCATTTTTAGAACGCCGGAAACGCTGCGAAATTTGCACCATTCGCGATCCTTTTATACATCTTTCGATTTTTTTGCGATTTGCTGAGCGACCGAGATAGACATGTTAGTTTCTTCCGGTAGTTTTGACGCAGACACACCAGCTTGGTTTTCGATGCCTTGATTTTCATACCGGCTTCTTTCGTATGTGAAGCTCCTGTTATGTCTCATTCATCTTGCGAGCGTTGCTGTGATAAAAACCGCGCCACTGGTGAAGCTTAATTTATTTGTCATCTCTAATGTCCAGACCAGCTTTCCAATCCAGTTTGCGAAATATCATCCTGAAACAGGCTATGAAAAGCTCGTGCGAAATAGCGTTCACTATTCCTCACACCGCTCTCGGCCGATATACGGGCTAAAGTGACAGAAATTGTTCTAACTCCCGAATAACCTGTATTCCCGTTTTTATTAATGCAAGAACTTGATGTTTGGATGGCACAGATCTGAATTTTGCTGCATGATGTGTAATAGATTTGTCTACGTTTAGTGTCTGTTTGGCGTCTGTGCTCACTTGTAGGCACCCCACTATTCCATGGTATAGTTGCAGTCCTGTTCCAGTTTCCTTCTTCCGTCGGCTTTCTTCGTTTTTCATTCAGCTCCCATTTCACCTGCTTCGCGTTTTAGATTTTTATTCATTGTCTCCTTTGGTACGTAAGATCCGCAGGGTGGTCTGGATAGTCGGTATTGAAAATGCGATCTGTTGGGATGCATCTGAATACCATGCTCAACAGTGTCAGACGCTTCTGGCCTAAACTGCTTCACCTAAGCTCTCTGCGTTATCTTTCTCTTCAAACGTTCCTTTAATGGTTTTTCATCACCACTGCTTACTGACCTATGGTTCCACCGATTGTCAACAGAGTATTTCCCTCCTGCCGCTTTTGCTTTTCCCCATGATTGCAGTGTTGTCCTGCATTTCTTGACCTGACAGAAAATTTGATTGCTTATGTGGCCATGAAAAGACATTTCGGATTTCCTTTCACTCGTTTGCTTCCTCCTTCACAACCAGCGCTCGCTTTTCCGCTTTCGTAAGCAATCACCTTTCTCAATGGTACCTCATTGTCTTCAATAGCGAATCACTCATGTGATGGGCAAAGTCTTTCTCTTTCGACACTTCGAGGACTCAGACAGTGCTGTGAGATCTGCGTCAACAGGCATCCGTTCTATATGTATCTCCGGTTGATGGCCCATACTTACTGTTAGGCCGTAGCAGACCAAACTATCAGTTTCTTTCATTTCAGCACTCCGTACCACCATTAACTGTATCGTTTTAATTTTCGCTATGTTTTAGGTTCATTTTTTTTTTCCACATGCAAGTTTCAATATTATAACTGTCATTTCACGAACTTTTTCCAAGAAGAGTACTCTAACGCTCACGGAATGGAATTGGTTTTCGTTGCTGATGCTTAAAGCACTTTTTTCAAATCGGTTTGCACAGTATCACGTCGAAGCGAGCCGTGAAAAATTTGAACGGTGTGGGGTACCTAGCCTCGCGCTGCTATCGATTGGCCCTTGAGCTGAATTAAAAAAATGTCTTATCTCGACCGGAACATACTTTCTGTAATTCTTTATTGGCAGAGTAAACATGCCGGGAAAATATTGGAAGAATTGTTTTTAATTGAATGTAATGAGGTTTTTTTTGCTGTGAACTATTCAAAACTTAAAGGAGCGAAAATGAACTAAGTAAGAGAGCCGAATTTGAGAATCTCTCGCTGTATTTCCGGCCTTCTTTATGAATATTCCTACTCAGATCAATCTAGTCTTAATTTACAGTTTTCAGTTTTATTATTTATATTCTTTGAATTTTATGTACTGCAGTGTTACTGATATTCAAGGCATGCTAGCTACTAGGTGGTTTCTCATCTGTGTGTAACGCTTTTCGAGACAGAAGAAGCGCATTGTTGTTCCCAAAGTTGTAGACTGTTTGCAGGTGGATGTAAATTTTACTGATGATGTCGGGCAGACACTTCTGAATTGGTCTTCGGCTTTTGGCACTCTTGATATGGTGATTTATCTGTGCGACAAAGGCGCCGACGTGAACAAGGGCCAGCGTTCTTCTTCGCTCCATTACGCAGCCTGTTTCGGCAGACCAGATGTGTGTTTTTTCATCCTTGTGTTTGTTGTCTGCTTCCGATCAGAGTTTGCTTTGCTATTTGCATGCCCAGTTTGCCCACTCGTCTGACTGCAACAGTGTTTTCTAGATTATGAAGACAGCTTTGTTTGCACAATATTTCATCGTCGTTTTTTTGCGCAACTGGTAACTTATTTCTGTTCCTCTGAGCTTGACGCATCCACATGATTCCGCTCTGGCACTCGGGTGGTTCCTGCTTTCTTGCTGATGTTCGTCTAGATATTCGATATTGCGTTGATGCTATCAGTCATCTGCTTTGTGCATCTCTGTCGCTCATTTCACTGTACGGTCAGCCCAGCTCTTCTTTTCGTTGCACATCGCCTGGCAAACATCGCTTATAGCAAGCGAGAATCGAATTACTTTATTGGGAATTCCTTGCAACTTACTGCAGCCCACCATGCATCGCTGCTGAGTTCTGATCAAATGTGATACGTGAAATTTCACTTTCACAAATGGAACTGATAACATACTGAATTTTATTCTGCGCTTCGGAGCTTGGCGCATCCACGTAATTCTGCACTAAGTTTTGGTATTTTGCCACAGCGAAATGTTAATGTACTGGCAAATTTTGTGCTGCTCATGTAGAAGATGAAGATAGCACTTCCTTATTAGGAAAGAGTTTGCTTGGCAAGTGGAATAAAAAGTTGAGCCGATATCAATCAGACATATATCGTTCTGGTGAATGCCAACGAAGATGAAATGGATAATCATCACCGACATGCAAAACCAGCGGTTGCTGTGCACTTGTGACTTGGACCAGAAGTTGCGCTGCTCTTAAACTGCAGCGTTCTGCTCTTATTGTTGCGAAACCTCTGAAGCAATGAATCTTCCCAGAATTCGACTGGTTAGATAAATTAACAACGTCGAGCTTGAAATGGCTTCAGTGTTGCACCACGGAGCAATTTGATTAACAAGACTTTGCTACGATTGTATTAATAATACACACACTGGTAACGTACGAAAAACTGAGCTGACGACCAGTTTGGCATTGAACTCTGATAGTATTCGCGAATGGTAAGTGCGCCGGGCTGCAGGAACTAACGCGGTTGAGTCTTTTGAAGATTGTTAAACAGTTGTTACGTTTCCAGCTAAGCAGTCGACTTCGCGCGTCGTGACGTGCAAGGATTCTGTATTTTGGACGGCGAGACAAATTTTAGCTAAAATGGACACCCTTTTGCTATTCTTACGATAAGAAAGACAAGAGGTGCTAGAAGTGTTCAGCAGAACTACTTGTCATCTTTGCGACTAATGCGTTTAAAAGTATTAAAGTACTGGCTTGGCCATTCAGTCGAAATGTAAAAGCGTGAACCTGTTGTGCTTGAAACCGTTGGAAAACGCAGGAGTTAAGAAATTCGACAGAATAAACAAATGGCTTCGTCCGTAACAAGAGTTCAAGACATTCTGAAACGAGCCGAGTTATTAGCAAGGCGAACAGTCGCTGGTGATTTGTTCTGTGAGATTTGCTTTTACTGTTGCACCATTCCGAAATGGAATCGTTGAGAAATTACCGCTGGAGAATGCTCCTACATAATCATTATGAACGCTTTATCAGAGTTATTCCACTTGTAGGCCACGGAAAACACCTCGTTGTCGCTATCGGACTTATCTGCTTATGATACTATGGATCATCATCCGATGTTTCTTCATTTCCAGGGCATTTTGTGCATGACATGCATGATTGTTCGGCTAACCCTCAGTTGGTCTCGGTAAGACTGATCGAAGCTGGCACTGGATTAGTTATTTTCCGTGCATTAGGCAGCCGTCAAAAAGGGATGAGGAGGGTATTGTTTGAAGTGCAGATTGACAGTGACTATGGGTTGTTAGCTTCGATGGTATGAACTTTGTCTTCAGAGACTGGCAGTGGCTGTCCAACGTCTAGAAAACGTTGAATTACAGAT